GGCGGAGCGGGGCGGGGCCAGTCCCGGCGCCGCTCATTGGCTGGGGCGCGGCTCTCAGCCTCTCACTTGCCGCTCGGCGGCCTTTGTTCCCGGCTGACAGCTGGGGCTGCTCTAGACCTCTTGGCTCCTCCGCGTCCGCCGAACGCCGTCCCCCATCTCTCCGCTCTCACTTCCAACAGACCCCGCCGGGCGGCTCTGTCTGAGTCTTTCTCTCCACCCGCCGGTCCTTCCCTTTCTCCGACTGTTCCTGTCTTGTTCTTGTCCCTTCCTTTTTTGCCTTTTATTAACGCACACTCCATTCTTATTCCTTCGCGTGTCCTTTATCCATTCCTTCGCTTTCTCCATCCCCCCGCCCCGGATTCCTTTCTTTCTTTATCACCCCTTCTTACTCACCAGTTTCCTTTCCCCAGTACTGTCTCTGCAACCCCTAAGTCCAGCGAAAAGCCTGGATTTCTGGGTTCAAAGACGGGACCAGCAGCCTACTGATGGGCATTGCCTCACGAAGCTGGGATTATAGACCCGAGCCCACAACACTGGCACTCCCAATCCCAAGACATTTCAAAGGCAAACTTTTCCAGCTTCCTCCCGGGGACTAGGTTTCGGGTGAAAGCTGAGGCCTGTTCCAAGTTTATAGCTATAAATCTCACCCAGTACCTTTTTATCGCTATCATTTTCTCTACCACGCTCACTTTCAACTTCTAGCAGTTGGGCTAGGAAGGAAACCAAGCTTACAAGCTTTGGTAGGACAAAAGACCAGTTAAAGGGGGTGCTGGGTGTGGCATGAGGCTCTGGTCCTGAGGGTTCACCCAGACTAATCCTCTAAACCCAGGCATGGCTCTACCCAGGGAATGTCATCCTCAGCCAAAAGAGGTGTGTATGTGTGGAGGAGGGAAGATTGAAGCGGCTGATCCCTGACTATAAGTGGAGTGGGGGAAGACAGCCCAAACAGAAGCAACATCATTTTGTTTCAGCCACCCCGCTGCTCAAAACCTTATAAGAAATCCTTACTACTTCCAGATCTTGACTCTGAACACCCCAGCTCTCAATTGCAGGCTTCCTGGAAGGAAACACAACAAACATTTAGGAGTACAGATAGGCTCTGCTAATTATCAGCTGTGTGACCCTGAGCCAGTTCCTTAATCTCCCTATATCTCAGGGGTTTTTTGTTTGTTTGTTGTTTTTTTTCCCCCTTTATGAAATGGGGTTAATAATTCCTGGAATGTAAACTTCCTGAGGGCTGGGATTTGTTTTTTGTTCATAGCTGAGGGACTTCGTCTGTTCTGATCACAGATGTACCCTCAACACCTAGAACTTGGCTGGGATATCGTAGTCATTCTATAACTACTTGTTAAATGAACCAATCCTTAGTTTATAGGTTTGCAGCAGGGACTAAATAAGAATCCTTGGCATGTAGTAAGTACATGCACATGGTAGCTATTACAAGTAACATTGCAACTTCTCTGTGTCAACTCCAAAGGCTATTTTCAGCCTTTTCAGAACATCACCTCTTCTTTTCCACCTTTGCATATACTTGTCCCTCAGTTTGAAAGGCCTTTCTCTACCTGTCAAAATTTGAGACTTAAAATGCAATCCTTATTCACACCATCTTTGATCATCTCATCAAAATTACAGTTCCTTTTTCTAAAGCTCCATATCTCTTGTCCTGTTCATTGGCACAGCATATGTATACTTGCTTGCATGGTGGCTGTGACTGCAGGTCTGTCTTCCCCTAGACTATGAGCTATCTAGAATCAGGGACTGGACTCTACATCTCCAGAGACAGATATGGTGCCTCATGGGTGGGAGTTTCTCAGAAACATTTGCTGAATGGATTAATACAAATCAAACATCTCAGCACTTTTTTTTTTTTTAAGGTAGAATCTTGGAAGGTAGAATAAGGGATCAGGTGGGCTTCAGATTTCTGTCAAACTCATTTTTGTCTTTTTAGATGTGGAATTCCATGGAAGGGGAAAAATAATAATCCTGGAAACCTGTTCATCATTTTGGCCTTACCACTTACTATTTAAATACTCTTGGATAAGCCATGTTCCTGGCTAGGTCTCAGTTTCTTTATCCGCAAAGTGGGTAGTTTGGGTGAGACTCTTTAGGGTACTCATCCAGCACTGACATACTGTGGTTCTCTGCCAGAGACATTCTGGGTGGAAGATAAGGCATGACATGTAGCTCTCTTTAATGACTGAGTTAGGCAAAGGGTGTGGACAGTGTGTTGGTGTGTATGTGAGGGGTGGAATCAGGATACAGTATGAAACAACAGAAGGACCCTGTGCAAGGGATGCATCAGAGATAAAGTGGGGTGCATTGAAAGTGGGGGTGGAAGTAAGGAAGCAGAATAAGGGGAGGAGAGCTGCCATGGTACAGCGTGTGTGTGTGTGTGTGTGTGTGTGTGTATGTGTGTGTGTGTTCATGAAAGCCTTGGGAATGTGGTCTCCAGAAGTAGAAAGCCATAATTAGCTCCCTGATTCAGCTGTTGGGTATGGTAATGCAATGACTGGGTGTGTCTGCTCCTAACACCCCTGGTGGGATTCTCAATGTGGCACCTCTTCCTTTGTCTGGTGAAGGAGTGTTGCCCTAACTGGGCCTGGGTGTCCCATCTGAGCCTCTGCATCCTTCAGGCTCTCCCTGGCCTGAGCTGAGTCTGGAAAGCTGGATCACAAAGCATGTTTTTGTAAAAAATTCCCTACCCTCCTCATCTGTTCACCACCTAAGATTCAAGTAGTTTACCATTCTGGCTTATCATTTTGTCCTTCATCTCTAGGACCTTAGATTGGCCACATAGGACCAGGCCCGTGGACCAGTTAACCTAACATTTTCTCTGGATTAGAAACACCCCTGCCTCTCTCAGTGTGCTTTCACCTATTACAATTTAATTAATTGCCCAACTTCTTGTTTGTGTGTTCAACTCTTCTGTAAGCTTCTCATTCAAAGACCACATCTTTCTTGTCCAATACTGAATGCCCAGCACATTGTTAGTATACAGAAAGCACTCATACAATATTTGAAGGAATTCTATGGAGGGGTGAAAGACAATGTTTTAGAGAGAGACATGGACTCAAATACAGAAGATTCACATCTATTCCCACATCTTCAAATTTGTGGTCTTGTCACAACTTTTCTGAGACTCCATTTGCTCATTGGTAAAATGGGCTTATTAACATTAGCCCTACCTGTCTTGTGACAATGATGCAAAGATGAAGAGAATTAATCAGGTTGAAGCTGGTAAGAAAAGTGAAAAATGTCAAATAATTGTTTAACATTATTTCAAGTCTAAAAAAAATCCAGGTACTTGAGTTAGAGGATAAGAAAAGCTGACTATAGGGGCATGCCTGGCTGGCTCAGTCGGTGGAGTATGCAACTCTTGATCTCGGGGTTGGGAGTTCAAGCCCCATGTTCAGTGTGGAGATTACTTTAAAAAAATAATTTTTTTAAAGATTTTATTTATTTATTTGACAGAGAGCAAGAGAGCACAAGCAGGGGGAACAGGAGAAGGAAAGGGAGAAGCAGGCTCCCTGCTGAGCAAGGAGCCCGATGCGGGACTCTATCCCAGGACTCTGGGATCATGACCTGAGCTGAAGGCAGTTGCTTAACCAAGTGACCCACCCAAGCATCCCTAAAAAAATAAAAATCTTAAAAAAAATTAAAAAAGCTGACTATATTAAACTGAGGCTGGATAATCTCCAAAAGTAGATGAGAAAATATAGTGATAGATCACTGAGCTGCTACTCCATCTATCCCCAAGCTAACCCAGGAAAGTACAGGAAGGCTGATTTTCCTGAAGGCCAACCTAATGTCTCTTGACCTTAAAGGATGCCCCACCAGTGTCCTGTCTCCCTCCAGGGAAAACAAAAACAAAAACAAACAAACAAACAAAAAACAGTTCTTCTGGAGTTTCCCTGGATGTACAGTTTTTATAACCAGAATTTACATTTCTTACCTGTATGTCCCTGGTCACCTTGCACCTCTTATCTCTGAACTTCAGTAAACTCTGCTTTGGGAGGAACATCTCGTCCTTGACTTCTCTGGGTGTTATGAAGACAAATAGGATAAAATGCAAGTAACGTTTTTTCTTTCCTAGAAAGCAAATGCTTTCCTAGAAAGCATTTCTTTCCTAGAAGTGACTCCAAGGAATTGTTAATCATTATCATTGGGAGGATTATCATCTGGAACTTCATTTTTAGTACTTAATCTGTATTCAGGAAATCAGGGAAGTTGTAGAGGGAACAAAACCCCATTAGGAGCAATAGGGAGAACTTGCTGACAGAATTCCTATCCAGTGATGACTCATTCACACTAACATGCTCAAGTTGCCTTAAGAAGTATATCCACTCCACTCTCTCATTGAAAGGAAAACTGAGTCAAAGAGCAAGGTGAGAAATTTGCCCAGCTTTACTGGACAAAAAAACCTTTATCCAGGGTTTTGAAGCATGTGTCCTATAACTGCCTCAGAAACCTTATAACTGATACAGTGTCTGAATGTGGTTTGGTTTGGTTAGTGTAGACCACAGGCAGGCAGCCTTCCTCTGAGCAGAGAACCAGTTACCTTGGCAATGCAAAACCAGGGCTCAAATGGCACTAACTAGCTTCTAGTGTGAAAAGGCTTTGTTCAGCCATCAGCTGACAATGCTCATGTGATAACTGTTAGCAAACCATTCAATGTAAGTGCAGGGTTGAGCTGGATTACAGAGAAATAAGGAGGAAGTATTATGATTTGACATGTCCTGCCCCACCCCAAATACCATTTTCAGTAGGATAAATAGGCTATTCTAATTCAAGATCCTAATTGTGAAAGGGCCTGGCCTATCACCTGTTCTGGAATCTATCTCTTCTGTTGTTTTAACTAGTTTGTCTGAAACTGTGAATCAGGAGGATGTCTGGA